CCCGTGGGGGATGCAGGTGCGGACGTCGTGCAGCACCTCCCCTGTGTACGGCCGTAACCCCGCCCCTTGTGTTTGTTTGCCATCCGGGCCATGCACAATTACAGCTCAACATCCGTGGCCATGCACAATTAACCCTCTACAGCTGTACGCGGCGGTGAGCTCAGCGCCTCGGGGGAACGGCCCTTCTTCTTCAGAGCAGAGCAGCGGCGTAGTAGCCAGTGCGCTGCCTTGTGACTTGTGCTCGCTGAACCATCGTCAAGCCGTGATGATCCGCGGCTGAACGAAAGCCTCCCCGCTCTCGTCAACCTCTCAAGATCCCACACGGATTCTGGGATTCTAGATTTGAAGCTTTCGTGACTGCAATCTCTCATTTACTTGATACAGCTGTCGTGGCGTGACGGTACCACCATGAAGACGAAGCTTGTGTTGCCTCCGAAACGTCGTGATTTTTAGTTTTGATTTTATTTTACTTTTTAATGTTTTTTACCTACGTGACTTTACCGGAAAAAACCTAGAATTGGATTCTGGGACTTGAGAATCGCTACCAAAACACCGTAACGCAAGTCCCAATTGATCGTTGTTCTCAGATATAAAATGCCTGAGAACGCTGCGATAACACGTTCTATGTCGGTACCGGATGTAGCGCCGTGTAGTAGTGGACATCGCCACTGGGGAGACAAAGGCGGGCGGTGCTATCCACCCACCCCCTCTCGGGCTCCTGCCACCATGAGGGGGTGACGGTCCTCTACTCGGGGCAGGAGACTGCCAAACAACAGGGTGTGCGCTCTTCTTCTGAACAAAGAATGAAGGGGGCGTGGGAGCGTGGCGGGTGAGGTGTGGGAAGCTGTAAGCCCCAGGCTACTTTGGGCTCGCCTTCCCATCAACCGAGGCGAGGAGTGGTGGTCGTGGTTACTTATGCCCCCACCGAAGACGAACATCCGTGGAGGGTGCACATGGCCTGGCACAAGCGTCGTGGTGACGTCACCGCCACTTAGTGGCGAATGGCGGTTGTTGTTGTGTGGAGTGTGAGGTGTGTGTGGGTGACTGTGTGAGTATGAGGGTGAGTGTGTGAGTGTGTGGTGTGTGAATGTGTGTGTGAGTATGTGAGTATGAGTGAGTGTAAGTATATGAGTGTGTTGGTGTAATTGTGTGTGTATGTGAGTGACTGTGTGAGTATGAGGGTGAGTGTGTGAGTGTGTGAGTATGTGAGTGTGTGTGTGTAATTGTGTGTGTGTGTGAGTGACTGTGTGAGTATGAGAGTGAGTGTGTGAGTGTGTGTGTGTAATTGTGTGTGTGGTGTGAGTGACTGTGTTGAGTATGAGGTGAGTGTGTGTGTGTAATTGTGTGTGTTTGTGAGTGACTGTGTGAGTATGAGGGTGAGTGTGTGAGTATGTGAGTGTGTGTGTGTAATTGTGTGTGTGTGTGAGTGACTGTGTGAGTATGAGAGTGAGTTGTGTGAGTGTGTGTGTGTAATTGTGTGTGTATGTGAGTGACTGTGTGAGTATGAGGGTGAGTGTGTGTGTGTAATTGTGTGTGTGTTGAGTGACTGTGTGAGTATGAGGGTGAGTGTGTGAGTGTGTGAATGTGTGTGTGAGTATGTGAGTATGAGTGAGTGTAATGAGTGTGTGTGTGTACTTGTGTGTGTGAGTGAGTGACTGTGTAAGTATGAGGGTGAGTGTGTGAGTGTGTGAGTGTGTGTGTGTGTAATTGTGTGTATGTGAGTGACTTGTGTGAGTATATGAGTGTGTGTGTGTGTAATTGTGTGTGTATGTGAGTGACTGTGTGAGTATGAGGGTGAGTGTGTGAGTGTGTGTGAGTGAGTATATGAGTGTGTGTGTGTGTATGTGAGTGAGTGAGTGTCAGTATATGAGTGTGTGTGTGTATGTGAGTGATTGTGTGAGTATGAGGGTGAGTGTGTGAGTATGTGAATGTGTGTGTAGTGAGTATGAGTGAGTGTGAGTATGTGAGTGTGTGTGTGTAATTGTGTGTGTGAGTACTGTGTGAGTATGAGGTGTGTGCGTGTGTGTGAGTGACTGTGTGAGTATGTGACTGTGTGAGTATGTGAGTGTGTGAGTATGTGAGTATGAGTGAGCATGAGTATATGAGTGTGTGTGTGTAATTGTGTGTGTATGTGAGTGACTGTGTGAGTATGAGGGTGAGTGTGTGAGTGTGTGTGAGTGAGTATATGAGTGTGTGTGTGTGTAATTGTGTGTGTGCGTGAGTGACTGTGTGAGTATGTGACTGTGTGAGTATGTGAGTGTGTGAGTATGTATGAGTGAGCATGAGTATATGATGTGTGTGTGTAATTGTGTGTGTATGTGAGTGACTGTGTGAGTATGAGGGTGAGTGTGTGAGTGTGTGTGAGTGAGTATATGTGTGTGTGTGTAATTGTGTGTGTATGTGAGTGAGTGTGTGAGTATGTGAGTGTGTGTGTGAGTATGAGTGAGTGTGTGAGTGTGTGTGTGTAATTGTGTATGTGAGTGACTGTGTGAGTATGAGGGTGAGTGTGTGAGTATGTGAATGTGTGTGAGTGTGTGAGTGTGTGAATATGTGTGTGAGTGTGTGAGTATGAGTGAGTGTTAGTATATGAGTGTGTGTGTGTAATTGTGTGTGTATGTGAGTGACTGTGTGAGTATGAGGGTGAGTGTGTGAGTGTAATTGTGTGTGTATGTGAGTGACGTGTGAGTATGAGGGTGAGTGTGTTGAGTGTGTGAATGTGTGTGTGAGTATGTGAGTAGAGTGAGTGTGTGAGTGTGTGTTGTGAGTGTGTGTGTGAGTGTGAGGGTGAGTGAGTGAGTGTTGAGTGTGTGAGTGTGTGTGTGAGTATGTGAGTATAAGTGAGGGTGAGGTGTGAGTGAGTATGTGAATGTGTGTGTGAGTGTGTGAGTATGTGAGTATGAGTGAGTGTAAGTATATTGTGTGTGTAATTGGTGTGTGTATGTGAGTGACTGTGTGAGTATGAGGGTGAGTGTGTGAGTGTGTGAGTGTGTGTGAGTGAGTATATGAGTGAGTGGTGTGTGTATGTGAGTATGAGTGAGTGTCAGTATATGAGTGTGTGTGTGTATGTGAAGTGATTGTGTGAGTATGAGGGTGAAAGTGTGTGAGTGTGGGAGTATGTGAAGTGTGTGTATGTGAGTATGAGTGAGTGTGAGTATGTGAGTGTGTGTAATTGTGTGTGTGAGTGACTGTGTGAGTATGAGGGTGTGTGAGTGTGTGTGAGTGACTGTGTGAGTATGTGACTGTGTGAGTATGTGAGTATGTATGAGTGAGCATGAGTATATGAGTGTGTGTGTGTAATTGTGTGTGTATGTGAGTGACTGTGGAGTATGAGGGTGAGTGTGTGAGTGGTGTGTGAGTGAGTATATGCGTGTGTGTGTGTGTAATTGTGTGTGTATGTGAGTGAGTGTGTGAGTATGTGAGTGTGTGTGTGAGTATGAGTGAGTGTGTGAGTGTGTGTGTGTAATTGTGTATCTGAGTGACTGTGTGAGTATGAGGGTGAGTGTGTGAGTATGTGAAATGTGTGTGAGTGTGTGAGTGTGTGAATATGTGTGTGAGTGTGTGAGTATGAGTGAGTGTTAGTATATGAGTGTGTGTGTGTAATTGTGTGTGTATGTGAGTGACTGTGTGAGTATGAGGGGTGAGTGTGTGAGTGTAATTGTGTGTGTATGTGAGTGACTGTGTGAGTATGAGGGTGAGTGTGTGAGTGTGTGAATGTGTGTGTGAGTATGTGAGTATGAGTGAGTGTTAGTATATGAGTGTGTGTGTAATTGTGTGTGTATGTGAGTGACTGTGTGAGTATGAGGGTGAGTGTGTGAGTATGTGAATGTGTGTGTGAGTATGTGAGTATGAGTGAGTGTGTGAGTGTGTGTGTGAGTGTGTGTGTGAGTGTGAGGGTGAGTGAGTGAGTGTGTGTGTGAGTATGTGAGTATAAGTGAGGGTGAGTGTGTGAGTGAGTATGTGAATGTGTGTGTGAGTGTGTGAGTATGTGAGTATGAGTGAGTGTAAGTATATGTGTGTGTGTAATTGTGTGTGTATGTGAGTGACTGTGTGAGTATGAGGGTGAGTGAGTGTGTGAGTATGTGAATGTGTGTGTGAGTGTGTGAGTTTGAGTGAGTGTAAGTATATGTTGTGTGTAATTGTGTGTGTATGTGAGTGACTGTGTATGAGGGTGAGTGTGTGAGTATCTGAATGTGTGTGTGTGTGACGATGATGATGATGGTGATGACAATGCGAGTGATGATTACTGTGTTGGCGTCTGGTCGGGGCAGGCCGAGTATCTGTGTGTGGAGAGTCTCCGTGTCTCCTCAACACTGAGCTGGTACACGGGATCTTCTAGCAGAAAATCCTGAAAAACATCAAAACCATCACCAGCATCACCATCGTCACCATCACCACCATTATCGTCATCATCATCGTTACCATCATCATAGTCATCATATTCCTCATCATCACTGCCATTATCATCATCATCACCACCATTCGCATCATCGTCATCATCATCATAACCAATATTATCATCATCATCACCACTATCATTAACATCACCATTATCATCATCGTCATCATCACCACCATTATCACCATCATCGTCATCACCATCATCACCACCATTATCACCATCATCATCATCATCGTCATCATCACCACCATCATCATCGTCGTCATCATCACCACCATTATCCTCATCGTCATCATCACCACCATTATCACCATCATCGTCATCACCATCATCACCACCATTATCACCATCATCATCATCATCGTCATCATCACCACCATCATCATCGTCGTCATCATCACCACCATTATCCTCATCGTCATCATCACCACCATTATCACCATCATCATCATCACCATTATCCTCATCGTCATCATCACCACCATTATCACCATCATTATCATCACCATTATCCTCATCGTCATCATCACCACCATTATCACCATCACCACCGTCATCATCACCATCATCACCACCATTATCACCATCATCGTCATCATCATCATCACCACCATTATCATCGTCATCATCACCACCATTTTCACCATCATCATCGTCATCATCACCACCATTATCACCATCATCATCGTCATCATCATCACCATCGTCATCACCATCGTGACCATCGTCACCAGCGGTACGTATATGCGTACATATAAAGACAAAGATCCCCCATGTAGCCTGTAACAGACTGTAGGGGCAAGTGCTGTTAGCGAGCACCTATGAAGGCCGGAGTGGCACACGAGGAGGTGGGTGGCCAGCACCACGCCCGGCCGCCTTTGTCTCCCCAGTGCTAGCAATGTTGAGTACACACTGCACCAGGTATATATTTGAGGCTGAGTCGACCTAGGGGAGGCCCAGTACCGATTCAGATAATCGCTGTCACTGATGGTGTTGATGGCTGTGAGCGGGAATCGAACTTGGGACTCACACCACAACAACCGCCATTCGCCACTAAGTGGCGGTGACGTCACCACGACGCTTGTGCCAGGCTATGTGCACCTTGAGGCCACGTGAAGTGTCGAACGCCCGCTGGCAGGAGGTCACGGGGCAGACCCAGCAGGTGCCACGGGTGAACTGACTGAGATGACTGGCTGATGCACCACCTGTGCCCCCTACTGTGCCAACTTGCTGTGCTTTAGCCACCCAGCGCTCCGCTCGTTGTTGTGAGCGTCACTCCTCCGCCCTCCGTTGTTGTTGGAGGGCGACTGCCTCCAACTGCCCAGCACAGTCCTTCACGAGCCTCCTCCACAGAGGCCGATCTTGACACCGCTGGTACCAGTCATCGCCAAGTCCACTCAGCTCCACGTCCTCCTGTACCACATCACTCCATCTCTTCTCTAGCCCGTGCCGCGCCCGTTTAGCCCCCTCAATCCGGCAGAACAAAAGCTGTTTAGGCATGCGGTGGCTGGGCATGCGGTGGCTGGGCATGCGGGCTACATGACCCAGCCAACGCAGCCTTGCCTGCCGGAGGAGCTCACCGATAGGACTTTGCCCAGATCTTTCAAGGATTTGTGAGCTCCTCACACAATCCAGCCTAGTTAAACCCAGGATGGATTGTAGGCAGGCCAGCCTAAATGTTTCTAACCGGCTAAGATGTTCTATTAGGGGGGTCCACGTTTCGCAAGCGTAGAGAAGGGAGGGAATGACTGTGGCCGTGAAAGATCCGAAGCTTCGTGCGGAGCGACAGACCAGGTAGCTTCCACACAGTATTACGCAATCGATGAAAAGATAATGCCGCTCGACTGATTCGGAGTGAGACCTCTGCTGTTAAACCGGAGCCAGTCATGAGCACACTGCCCAGGTATGGGAAACTCTCCACTCTCTCCACAACTGCCCCATCACCGATTGGGAGTTGTGGGGGTGGAGTGTCCGATGGTACAAACTACCCAGGCAGGTGCTTCGTTTTGGTGGGGCTGATGGTAAGGCCCCACCTCTTAGTGGCACACTCCAGTTTTAGCAGCAGCGCCTCAAACTCCCTCCTCTGAGTGAGATGCAACCACCTGACCATCGGTGTGGCAAAACAACCCCTACCTCCTTGTGGTGCCGGACAGACAACGCTGTCGTGGACAGAGCCGTGGGGAGAGGGCCAATTCCGATTGGCCGTTCCCCGCGGGGTATTTGTAGCCACCACGGCGGCCAAATGGGGGCTATGGACGGGTGCGAGGGGCTGGTAACCCCTCCACCTTCAATACATCACCACTAAGCACGTCACAAATATCTCAGTAATAAGCTCGTGCCGGAGGCCCCGGGGGGACAGGCGTCGATGACGTCTCCTGGCCAAACCCCGTTTGACAGACACGCACAGACACACACACACAGACACACACACACACAGACACACACACACACAGACACACACACACACAGACACACACACAGACACACACACACACAGACACGCACAGACACGCACAGACACAGACACACACACAGACACACACACACACAGACACACACACACACAGACACACACACACACAGACACACACACAGACACACACACAGACACACACTCACAGACACACACACACACAGACACACACACACAGACACACACACACACAGACACACACACAGACACACACACACAGACACACACACACAGACACACACACAGACACACACACACAGACACACACACAGACACACACACAGACACACACACACACACACAGACACACACACAGACACACACACACACAGGGCGAGGTGGTCTGCACCTCGTAGCTGTGGTGGTGACCACCGCTGCTACGTGGCTGTGACCGTGCTGTCGGCAGGAACACACGTATCATGGACCACAGTCGACGCTGTCGCCACGTGGACCACCAGTCGTCTTCACGGGACACGGGGTGGGGGTGGGGGCCAGACAGACACAGTGTATAGTGTAGTGTATAGTGTAGTAGTGTATAGTGTAGTAGTGTATAGTGTAGTGTAGTGTATAGTGTAGTAGTGTATAGTGTAGTGTATAGTGTAGTAGTGTATAGTGTAGTGTAGTGTATAGTGTAGTAGTGTATAGTGTAGTAGTGTATAGTGTAGTAGTGTATAGTGTAGTGTATAGTGTATAGTGTAGTAGTGTAGAGTGTAGTAGTGTAGAGTGTAGTAGTGTGTAGTGTAGTGTGTAGTGTATAGTGTAGTAGTGTATAGTGTAGTGTATAGTGAAGTGTGTAGTGTAGTGTAGTAGTGTATAGTGTAGTGTATAGTGTAGTGTATAGTGTAGTGTATAGTGTAGTAGTGTAGAGTGTAGTGTATAGTGTAGTGTATAGTGTAGTGTAGTAGTGTATAGTGTAGTAGTGTATAGTGTAGTGTATAGTAGTGTATAGTGTAGTGTATAGTAGTGTATAGTGTAGTAGTGTATAGTGTAGTAGTGTATAGTGTAGTGTATAGTGTAGTGCAGGGGTCCTCAAACTACGGCCCGCGGGCCACATGCGGCCCGCCGAGGACATTTATCCGGCCCGCCGGGTGTTTTTGCCGCCGCTGCCTGTCTGTTACTTTTTTTCTACATGAGAAGGACGGTCATTGGTGGAAGAGGGAGAGGGGGCGGAGTTTCCCCCAATCAGACTGCATTGATGGGCAGTGCAGTCTGTATGTCTCTGTGTGGGCAAAGTTATTGCTGGTATATTGTTTTTGTAGCGCTGTATATATTGGTATTTTACTAATAGCAATTTTGACTCCCTAGGAAACAATGATGTCAAGAAAGAGAAAAATTGACTCGGAGTGTAGGATATTCAAAGAACAGTGGACTTATGATTACTTTTTCATGCAGTACAAGGAAAGAGCTGTGTGTCTGATATGCCAGAATATAGTGTCTGTGTTCAAAGAATACGATTTACGTCAACACTATAAAACTCAACATAAAGATAAATTTGCTTGTTTGGTCGGAGAAGTGAGAAAAGATAAAATATTAAAACTGAAAAATACATTAACAACTCAGCGAAATAGTTTTGTGAAGCAGAAGCAGCTAAATATTTCATCACTGCGAGCAAGTTTTCAAGTTGCCAAGCTAATAGCGTGCACTGGCAGACCATTCGTGGAGGGAGAATTTGTTAAAGAATGCCTTCTTTCTGTTGCCAAAGAGATGTGTCCAGAGAAGTCCGATTTATTTAGTACAGTGAGTCTTTTAGGACCTACAATTACACGGAGGATTGAAGAAATGGGAGACAATTTGCATCAGCATTTGCAAAACTCCACAAAAAAACTTTCCTATTTTTCCTTGGCACTCGACGAAAGCAATGATGTTCGTGATTCTGCACAACTTCAAATTTTTATTCGTGCGACGAATGACTATTTCGAAGTCACAGAAGAGCTTGCTGCACTGCAAAGCATCAAAGGAACAACTACAGGAGAGGATATCTTTCGATTTAAAGCTTTCGTGACTGCAGGGATTCATCTTCTTGGTTTTTTCGGTAAAGTCACATAGAAGGGAAGTAATAAAATAATTCTCACGACGTTTCGGCCACAACGCAAGCAGCCGTCCTCAGGTGAAAACCAGGTCTGTTGGGGAGACAGCGTCTGAATGAAACAGCACACGAGCTTGGAGCATATATAAGCTGGGTTGGAAGCGGGGGTAAGAGCGCCTTGACAAAATAATTTCAATATCAAGAGGAATTTAGCATATTTATGGGAAATGCAGGAATGTGATTAGTACTACATATGCCCGTGCTGCATATGTAGTACTAATAACATTCCTGCATGTCCCATAAATATGCTAAATTCCTCTTGATATGCAAATTATTTGTCAAGGCGCTCTTTCCCCCGTTTCCAACCCAGCTTATATATGCTCCAAGCTCGTGTGCTGTTTCATTCAGACGCTGTCTCCCCGACAGACCTGGCTTTCACCTGAGGACGGCTGCTTGCGTTGTGGCCGAAACGTCGTGAAAATTATTTTATTATGTTTTATTTTATTATTTTATTACTTCCCTTCTACGTGACTTTACCGAAAGAACCAAGAAGAGAGGATATCTATGAAAAGGTTTGCCAAACTGTGAATGGTTTGGAGCTGAACTGGGCTAAACTAGCCAGTGTGACAACTGATGGTGCTCCTAGTATGGTGGGTCTAAGAAAGGAGTAATTGCTCGCATTAACCAAGAGATGGACAAACATAACCATTCTCATCCAATAGCCATACACTGCCTCATCCACCAACAAGCGCTGTGTAGTAAATCACTGAAGTGGGACTCGGTTATGAAATTTGTGGTATCTTGTGTTAACTTCATTAGAGCTCATGCACTAAACCACAGACAATTTCAGGCATTTCTGTCTGAGCTAAATGTTGACTATGAAGATGTTCTGTATCACACAGAAGTCCGTTGGCTGAGTCGAGGGAGAGTTTTGAAACGTTTCTATGACTTACTTCCACAGATTACAGCTTTTCTGCTTTAAAAAACAAAGAAGTACCAGAGCTCAATGATGCAGAATGGAAATGGCACCTTGCCTTTCTGACAGATATAACAGAGCTACTCAACAGTTTCAATGTGCAACTTCAAGGAAAGGGGAAGCTCATCTGTGATATGCAATCACATGTCAAAGCATTTGAAGTAATATTAGGCCTCCTCATCAAACAAGTGAAGGAGGAAAACTTCTGCCATCTCCCCACAACTCAAAATCTGTTAGCGGAAAAAACCATTGGTTGCATTCCCAAACAAAACGTGTGGATTCACTGGAAAAATTGCAAAAGGAGTTCCAATTTGGATTTAAAGAGCTTCATCTCCATGAACAGGACATACAGCTTTTCCGTAACCCATTTTCTATTGACATTGAAAATGTGGATACAATTTACCAAATGGAACTGGCTGAACTGCAGAATTGTGACTCTCTGAAAGACGCATTCAAGTCAAGCAGCCTTCATAATTTCTATGCATCTCTCCCCTCTGAGACATATCCTCATCTCAGGAACCATGCACTCAAAATGGCAACCATCTTTGGCAGCACTTATGTCTGTGAACAGACTTTTTCCAGAATGAAACATTTGAAATCTCCAACCAGATCTAGACTAATGGATGCACACTTGCATCACTTGTTACGACGAGCAGTGACAAATATGGAACCGGACATTGACCATCTCATTAGCCAAAAGCAGGCCCATAGTTCCCATTGGAATACTGGCAAGTTTGTTGATTTAACTTTACTTGTTCTTCATTTTAAATATTGTATTTATTCCCGTTTTGTTTTTTCACTTCAAAATAAGATATATGCAGTGTGCATAGGAATTTGTTCATAGTTTTTTTAAACTATAGTCCGGCCCTCCAACGGTCTGAGGGACAGTGAACTGGCCCCCTGTTTAAAAAGTTTGAGGACCCCTGGTGTAGTGTATAGTGTAGTAGTGTAGTGTGTAGTGTATAGTGTAGTAGTGTATAGTGTAGTAGTGTAGTGTGTAGTGTATAGTGTAGTAGTGTATAGTGTAGTAGTGTATAGTGTAGTGTATAGTGTAGTAGTGTATAGTTTAGTAGTGTAGTGTGTAGTGTATAGTGTAGTAGTGTATAGTGTAGTAGTGTATAGTGTAGTGTATAGTGTAGTAGTGTATAGTTTAGTAGTGTATAGTGTAGTGTATAGTGTAGTAGTGTAGAGTGTAGTAGTGTAGAGTGTAGTAGTGTGTAGTGTAGTGTGTAGTGTATAGTGTAGTAGTGTATAGTGTAGTGTATAGTGTATAGTGTAGTGTAGTAGTGTATAGTGTAGTGTATAGTGTAGTGTATAGTGTAGTAGTGTAGAGTGTAGTGTAGTGTAGTAGTAGTAGTGTAGTAGTGTATAGTGTAGTGTATAGTAGTGTATAGTGTAGTGTATAGTAGTGTATAGTGTAGTAGTGTATAGTGTAGTAGTGTATAGTGTAGTGTATAGTGTAGTAGTGTATAGTGTAGTAGTGTATAGTGTAGTGTAGTAGTGTATAGTAGTGTATAGTGTAGTGTATAGTGTAGTGTATAGTGTAGTAGTGTATAGTGTAGTGTATAGTGTAGTAGTGTATAGTGTAGTAGTGTATAGTGTAGTGTATAGTGTAGTGTATAGTGTAGTGTATAGTAGTGTATAGTGTAGTGTATAGTGTAGTGTATAGTGTAGTGTATAGTGTAGTGACGGTGCTACTCACAAAGGCTGCGGTTGCCAGGCAGCACCTGGGAAGGGGGCAGAAGAGACGTGACGATGAGACAGCAACTACAAGACTCACACAGAGACTCACACACAGACTCACACAGAGACTCACACAGAGACTCACACAGAGACTCACACAGAGACTCACACAGAGACTCACACAGACTCAGAGACTCACACAGAGACTCACACAGAGACTCACACAGAGACTCACACAGAGACTCACACAGAGACTCACACAGACTCAGAGACTCACACAGAGACTCACACAGACACTCACACAGACACTCACACAGAGACTCACACAGACACTCACACAGAGACTCACACAGACACTCACACAGAGACTCACACAGACACCCACAGACTCACACAGAGACTCACACAGAGACTCACACAGAGACTCACACAGAGACTCACACAGAGACCCATAGACTGACACAGACACCCATAGACTCACACAGACACTCACACAGAGACCCACACAGAGACCCACACAGAGACTCACACAGAGACTCACACAGAGACTCACACAAAGACTCACACAGAGACCCATAGACTCACACAGAGACCCATAGACTGACACAGACACCCATAGACTCACACAGACACTCACACAGAGACCCACACAGAGACTCACACAGAGACTCACACAAAGATTCACACAGAGACCCATAGACTCACACAGAGACCCATAGACTGACACAGACACCCATAGACTCACACAGACACTCACACAGAGACCCATAGACTCACACAGAGACCCATAGACTGACACAGACACCCATAGACTCCCACAGACACTCACACACAGACTCAGAGACTCACACAGAGACTCACACAGAGACTCACACAGACACTCACACAGAGACTCACACAGACACTCACACAGAGACTCACACAGACACCCATAGACTCACACAGAGACTCACACAGAAACTCACACAGAGACTCACACAGAGACTCACACAGACACTCACACAGAGACTCACACAGAGACTCACACAGAGACTCACACAGACTCAGAGACTCACACAGAGACTCACACAGACACTCACACAGAGACTCACACAGACACTCACACAGAGACTCACACAGAGACTCACACAGAGACCCATAGACTGACACAGACACCCATAGACTCACACAGACACTCACACAGAGACTCACACAGAGACTCACACAGAGACCCATAGACTGACACAGACACCCATAGACTCACACAGACACTCACACAGAGACTCACACAGAGACTCACACAGAGACCCATAGACTGACACAGACACCCATAGACTCACACAGAGACTCACACAGAGACTCACACAGAGACTCACACAGAGACCCATAGACTGACACAGACACCCATAGACTCACACAGACACTCACACAGAGACCCACACAGAGACTCACACAGAGACTCACACAGATACTCACACAGAGACTCACACAAAGACTCACACAGAGACCCATAGACTCACACAGAGACCCATAGACTGACACAGACACCCATAGACTCACACAGACACTCACACAGAGACCCACACAGAGACTCACACAGAGACTCACACATACAATCACACACACACACCTACACACTCACACACCTACACACACACACACGCGTGTGTGAGTGTGTACACACACACACAGACACTCACACATACAATCACACAAACACACCTACACACTCACACACCTACACACACACACACGCGTGTGTGAGTGTGTACACGCACACACAGACACCCACACGTACAATCACACACACACACCTACACACTCACACACCTACACACACACCCGCGTGTGTGAGTGCGTACACACACACATAGAAACTCACACACAGACACTCACACATACAATCACACAAACACACTCACACACCTACACACACACCCGCGTGTGTGAGTGTGTACACACACACACAGACACTCACACACCTACACACACACACACCTACACACGCATGTGTGAGTGCGTGCGTCCTGACCCTCACCTCTTCCTCCTCACCCTCCTCCTCCTCCATTTTCCCACCACCAGCAGCACCATCACCACAACCATCACAACCACCATCACCACCACCACCAGCAGCATCACCACCACCACTACCACTTCCACCACCACTTCCACCATCACCACTACCAGCACCACCACTACCAGCACCACCACTACCACCAGAACCACCACGACAACCATCCCCACCACCATCATCACCACCATCATCACCACTACCACCATCATCACCACCAGAACCACCACTACCACCACTACCACCACCACCACTATCACCACTACCACCACCACTACCACCGCCACTACCACCACTACCACCACTACCACCACCACTACCACCACCACCACCACTACCACCACCACCACTACCACCACCACTACCACCACTACCACCACTACCACCACCACTACCACCACCACTACCACCACCACTACCACCACCACCACCACTACCACTTCCACCACCACTTCCACCATCATCACCACCATCATCACCACTACCACCATCATCACCACCATCATCACCACTACCACCATCATCACCACCACTACCACCATCATCACCATCATCATCACCATTATCACCATCATCATCATCATCACCATTATCACCATCATCACCACTACCACCATCATCACCACCATCATCACCACTACCACCATCATCGCCATCATCATCACCATTATCACCATCATCACCATCATCACCATCATCATCACCATCATCACCATCATCATCACCATCATCACCATCATCATCACCATTATCACCATCATCACCACCATCATCAGCATCATCACCATCATCATCACCATTACCACCATTACCACCACCACCATCTTCACCATCACCACCACCATCACCACCATCACCACCATCACCACCATCACCAGCTCCTCTTCCACGTGCCCACGTCTCGGCCTCCCCCCCCGCCCAGCGGCGACACTCGCTCTGGATCTGTGGGAGGCAGAGAGACAAAGTGCCCAGCGCTCCTCCGTGTCACCACCATCATCATCATCATCACCACCACCACCACCATCATCATCATCATCATCACTACCATCGCCATCGCCACCACCATCGCCACCACCAACATCATCACCACCATCATCACTACCATCGCCACCACCATCGCCACCACCACCATCATCATCACCACCATCGCCACCACCATCATCATCACTACCATCGCCATCGCCACCATTGCCACCAACATCACCACCACCATCGCCACCACCAACATCATCACTACCATCGCCATCGCCACCACCAACATCATCACCACCATTGCCACCACCAACATCATCACTACCATCGCCATCGCCACCATCGCCACCACCACCACCATCGCCACCACCAACACCATCACTACCATCGCCACTAACATCACCACCACCACCATCGCCACCACCAACATCATCACTACCATCGCCACCACCGCCACCACCAACATCATCACCACCAACGCCACCATCGTCACCATCGCCACCACTCCGACCACCACCGTGGTGGTGGTGGGTCACACACACCCCCACACAGACACCCCCACACACATCAGGGTCACACAGACACCCACCCACACAGACACCCACACAGTCACACACACACACACCCACACAGACACCCACCCACACAGACACCCACACCCACACAGTCACACACACACACACAGGCTCACACACACAGGGTCACACACGCAGGGTCATACACACCCGCACAGTCACACACACACAGACACCCACACACACACACACAGTCACACACACACACAGGCTCACACACGCAGGGTCATACACACCCGCACAGTCACACACACACACACACCCACCCACCCACACAGGCACCCACCCACACACACCCACACCCACACAGTCACACACACACAGGGTCACACACGCAGGGTCATACACACCCAGGGTCATACACACCCGCGCAGTCACACACAGACACCCACCCACACACACCCACACCCACAGTCACACCCACACAGGGTCACACACGCAGGGTCATACACACCCGCAAAGTCACACACACACACATACTCCCACCCACACAGACACCCACATACACACAGTCACACACACACAGGCACCCACCCACACAGACACCCACACACCCAGTCACACACACACAGGCTCACACACACAGGGTCACACACATCCGCACAGTCACACACACACAGTCACACCCACACAGACACCCACACAGTCACACACACACAGGCACCCACCCACACAGACACCCACACACCCAGTCACACACACACAGGCTCACACACGCAGGGTCACACACACACCCGCACAGTCACACACACGCAGACACCCACCCACACACACACACCTGTGGGCACGCTGCAGGCTCACACACACAGGGTCACACACACCCACACACACACACAGTCACACACACACAGACACCCACCCACCCACACACACACACACAGACACCCACCCACCCACACACACCTGTGTGCACGCTGCAGGCTCACACACACAGGGTCACACACACCCACACACACACAGTCACACACACACAGACACCCACCCACACACACACACACAGACACCCACCCACCCACACACACCTGTGTGCACGCTGCAGGCTCACACACACAGGGTCACACACACCCACACACACACAGTCACACACACACACACAGGGTGACACACACACACAGTCACACACACACAGGGTGACACACACAGCTGTGTGCACGCTGCAGACTCACCGTGTTCTGTGTCTTCGTCCTCTTACTGCTGCCAGAGACGGAGCTGTGGGCAACCACGTGACACAGTGACACCCACCCACAGTGACACAGTGACACCCACCCACAGTGACACAGTGACACCCACCCACAGTGACACAGTGACACCCACCCACAGTGACACAGTGACACCCACCCACAGTGACACAGTGACACCCACCCACAGTGACACAGTGACACCCACCCACAGTGACACAGTGACACCCACCCACAGTGACACAGTGACACCCACCCACAGTGACACAGTGACACCCACCCACAGTGACACTCAGTGACACCCACCCACAGTGACACTCAGTGACACCCACCCACAGTGACACAGTGACACCCACCCACAGTGACACAGTGACACCCACCCACAGTGACACAGTGACACCCACCCACAGTGACACAGTGACACCCACCCACAGTGACACAGTGACACCCACCCACAGTGACACAGTGACACCCACCCACAGTGACACAGTGACACCCACCCACAGTGACACAGTGACACCCACCCACAGTGACACAGTGACACCCACCCACAGTGACACAGTGACACCCACCCACAGTGACACAGTGACACCACCCACAGTGACACAGTGACACCCACCCACAGTGACACAGTGACACCCACCCACAGTGACACAGTGACACCCACCCACAGTGACACAGTGACACCCACCCACAGTGACACAGTGACACCACCCACAGTGACACAGTGACACCCACCCACAGTGACACAGTGACACCCACCCAACAGTGACACAGTGACACCCACCCACAGTGACACAGTGACACCCACCCACAGTGACACAGTGACACCCACCCACAGTGACACAGTGACACCCACCCACAGTGACACAGTGACACCCACCCACAGTGACACAGTGACACCCACCCACAGTGACACAGTGACACCCACCCACAGTGACACAGTGACACCCACCCACAGTGACACAGTGACACCCACCCACAGTGACACAGTGACACCCACCCACAGTGACACAGTGACACCCACCCACAGTGACACAGTGACACCCACCCACAGTGACACTCAGTGACACCCACCCACAGTGACACTCAGTGACACCCACCCACAGTGACACTCACCCACAGTAACACCCACAGTGACATTCACCCACAATGACACTCACCCACAGTGACACTCACAGTGACACCCACCCACAGTGACACTCACAGTGACACCCACAGTGACACTCACAGTGACACTCACAGTGACACCCACAGTGACACTCACAGTGACACCCACAGTGACACTCACAGTGACACTCACTCACAGTGACACTCACAGTGACACTCACAGTGACACCCACAGTGACACTCACAGTGACACTCACAGTGACACTCACAGTGACACCCACAGTGACACCCACAGTGACACCCACAGTGACACTCACAGTGACACTCACAGTGACACTCACAGTGACACTCACAGTGAACACCCACAGTGACACTCACAGTGACACTCACTCACAGTGACACTCACAGTTGACACTCACAGTGACACCCACAGTGACACTCACAGTGACACCCACAGTGACACCCACCCACAGTGACACCACAGTGACACCCCAGTGACACTCCACAGTGACACTCACAGTGACACTCACAGTGACACTCACAGTGACACCCACCCACAGTGACACTCACAGTGACACTCACAGTGACACTCACAGTGACACCCACAGTGACACTCACAGTGACACTCACAGTGACACCCACAGTGACACAGTGACACTCACAGTGACACCCACAGTGACACTCACAGTGACACTCACTCACAGTGACACTCACAGTGACACTCACAGTGACACCCACAGTGACACTCACAGTGACACCCACAGTGACACCCACCCACAGTGACACTCACAGTGACACCACAGTGACACTCACAGTGACACTCACAGTGACACTCACAGTGACACTCACAGTGGACACCCACCCACAGTGACACTCACAGTGACACTCACAGTGACACTCACAGTGACACCCACAGTGACACTCACAGTGACACCCACAGTGACACCCACCCACAGTGACACTCACAGTGACACCCACAGTGACACTCACAGTGACACTCACAGTGACACTCACAGTGACACTCACAGTGACACCCACCCACAGTGACACTCACAGTGACACTCACAGTGACACTCACAGTGACACCCACAGTGACACTCACAGTGACACCCACAGTGACACTCACTCACAGTGACACCCACAGTGACACTCACAGTGACACTCACAGTGACACTCACAGTGACACCCACAGTGACACTCACAGTGACACTCACTCACAGTGACACTCACTCACAGTGACACTCACAGTGACACCCACAGTGACACCCACAGTGACACTCACTCACAGTGACACTCACAGTGACACTCAGAGTGACACTCACAGTGACACCCACAGTGACACTCACAGTGACACTCACTCACAGTGACACTCACAGTGACACTCACAGTGACACCCACAGTGACACCCACAGTGACACCCACAGTGACACTCACTCACAGTGACACTCACAGTGACACTCACAATGACACTCACCCACAGTGACACTCACAGTGACACTCACCCACAATGACACTCACCCACAGTGACACTCACAGTGACACTCACCCACAATGACACTCACCCACAGTGACACAGTGACACCCACCCACAGTGACATTCACCCACAATGACACTCACAGTGTGTGTGTGTAAGTGTGTGTGTGTATGTAATTTGTGTGTGTGTGTAAGTGTGTGTGTAAGTGTGTGTGTAAGTGTGTAAGTTTGTGCGTATGTTAGTGTGTGCAAGTGTGTCTGTGTGCGTATGTAAGTGTGTGTAAGTGTGTGTGTGTGCATATGTAAGTGTGTGCAAGTGTGTGTGTGTAAGTGTGTGTGTAAGTGTGTAAGTTTGTGCGTATGTTAGTGTGTGCAAGTGTGTCTGTGTGCGTATGTAAGTGTGTGTAAGTGTGTGTGTGTGCGTAAGTAAGTGTGTGCAAGTGTGTGTGTGTAAGTGTGTGTGCAAGTGTGTGTGTGTGCGTATGTTAGTGTGTGCAAGTGTGTCTGTGTGCGTATGTAAGTGTGTGCATGTGTGTGTGTGTGCGTATGTAAGTGTGTGCAAGTGTGTGTGTGTGCGTATGTAAGTGTGTGCAAGTGTGTGTGTGTGTAAGTTTGTGCAAGTGTGTGTGTGTGTAAATTTGGTGGGGAGCGGTGGTGTAGTGGTTAGCGCTACGCTGCGCTATGAACCTGGCGACACGAGTTCGATTCCCGCTCACGGCCAACACCAGTGACGATTATCTGAACCGGTCCTGGGCCTCCCCTAGGTCGACTCAGCCTCAAATGAGTACCTGGTGCGGTGTGTAAACATCACCACTGGGGAGACAAAGGCGGTCGGGCGTGGTGCTGACCACCCACCTCCTCGTGTGCCGTTCCGGCCTTCATAGGGGCTCGCTAACAGCACTTGCCCCTACAGTCTGTTAAGGCTATACGGGGGTTCTTTGTCTTTGTCTTTTTTTCGTGTAAATTTTTACATAAAACTTTGGTGACTGCAGGAATTCATAAACTTTTTCTATCTACGTGACTTTACCGAAAGAACCAAAGAATGTGTAAGTTTGTATGTAAGTGTGTGTACGTGTGTGTAAGTGTGTGTGTAAGTGTGTGTAAGTTTGTGTAAGTGTGTGTGTGTGTAAGTGTGTTTAAGTGTGTAAGTGTGTGTAAGTGTGTGTAAGTGTGCAAGTGTGTGTGTGTAAGTGTGTGTAAGTGTATGTAAGTGTGTGTGAGTGTGTAAGTGTGTAAGTGTGTAAGTGTGTGTAAGTGTGTGTAAGTGTGCAAGTGTGTGTGTGTAAGTGTGTGTAAGTGTGTAAGTGTGTGTGAGTGTGTAAGTGTGTAAGTGTGTGTTAATGTATGTAAGTGTGTAAGTGTGTGTAAGTGTGTGTAAGTGTGTAAGTGTGTGTAAGTGTGTGCGTGTAAGTGTGTGTAAGTGTGTAAGTGTGTGTAAGTGTGTGTGTATGTAAGTGTGTGTAAGTGTGTGTGTGTGTAAGTGTGTGTGTGTGTAAGTGTGTGTGTATGTAAGTGTGTGTGTGTGTGTAAGTGTGTGTGTGTGTGCGTGTACCTCTGGTGTTGCCGTTTGCGCGTCGGCTCCGGCATTGTGGGGATGGAGCTGTCAGAGGCCTCCTTCAATCCGGCACCACCGCCACCACCACCATCACCACCATCGTCACCACCACCACCATCGTCACCACCACCACCGTCGTCACCACCACCATCGTCACCACCACCGCCACCACCACCATCACCGCACTCATCACCGTCACCACCCTCACCACCGTTGTCACCACCATCGTCGAAGTCGTCGTCGCCAATCCTGTCGATGTCGCCGAAAGTGACGCCGTCAAAGTCGCCGACGATGTCGCTGAAGGCGACGCCCTCGGAGTCGCTGCAGTCGGCGCCGTCGCAATCGCCGATGCCGTCAACGTTGCCGAACATCAGGCGGACAAAGTCGCCGAAGTCGGCAAAGTTGGCCACGGTGAGGCCCGCGGCTCGGCTAGACGCAGCAGGGCGGTGGCCGCAGGAGCCCAGTCCGGCACCGTCCATCCTGCAAGCTGCACACACCGTGAACACCGTCACCACCAACACCATCATCACCACCACCACCACCGTCACTACCACCACCATCATCACCACCATCATCACCACCATCACCACCACCATCACCACCACCATCACTACTACCACCATCACCACCATCACACCCACCACCGTCACCACCACCACCATCACCACCATCACTACCATCATCATCACCACCATCACCACCACCACCATCATCACCACCACCATCATCACCACCACCATCACTACTACCACCATCACCATCATCACCACCACCATCACACCCACCACCATCACCACCACCATCACCATCACCACCATCACCATCACCACCATCACCATCACCACCATCACCACCACCATCACCACCACCACCACCATCATCACCACCATCACCACCATCATCACCACCATCATCACCACCATCACCACCATCATCACCATCACCATCACCACCACCACCACCATCACCACCACATCACCACCATCATCACCACCACCATCACCACCATCACCACCACCACCATCACCCACCATCATCACCACCACCACCACCACCATCACCACCACCACCATCACCACCACCACCACCATCACCACCACCACCATCACCACCACCACCACCATCACCACCACCACCATCACCGCCACCATCACCACCCGCCACCATCACCACCATCTCACCACCACCACCATCACCACCACCATCACCACCACCACCATCACCACCATCACCACCACCACCACCACCATCACCACCACCACCATCACCACCATCACCACCACCACCACCACCATCACCACCACCACCATCACCACCATCACCACCACCACCATCACCACCATCAACCACCACCATCCCCACCACCACCACCACCACCACCACCACCATCCCACCATCACCACCACCTCACCACCACCACCACCACCATCACCACCACCACACCATCACCACCACCATCACCACCACCCATCCCCCACCATCACCACCACCATCACCACCACCCACCATCACCACCACCACCATCACCACCACCATCACCATCATCCACCACCACCACCATCACCACCACCACCAATCACCACCACCACCATCACCACCATCATCACCATCATCACCACCACCATCACCACCACCACCTCACCACCATCACCACCACCACCACCATCACACCACCACCACCATCACCACCACCACCATCACCACCATCACCACCACCATCATCACCACCACCATCACCACCACCACCATCACCACCACCACCATCATCACCACCATCACCACCATCATCACCACCACCACCATCACCACCACCACCATCACCACCACCACCATCATCACCACCACCATCACCACCACCACCATCACCACCACCACCATCACCACCACCATCATCACCACCACCATCACCACCACCACCACCACCAATCATCACCACCATCACCACCACCACCACCATCACCACCACCATCATCACCACCATCATCATCACCACCACCATCACCACCATCACCACCATCACCACCACCACCATCATCACCACCACCATCACCACCACCACCACCATCACCACCACCATCATCACCACCATCATCACCACCACCATCACCACCACCACCATCACCACCACCATCACTACCACCACCATCACCACCACCATCATCACCACCATCATCACCACCACCATCACCACCATCACTACCACCATCACCACCATCATCACCACCACCATCACCACCATCACTACCACCATCACCACCACCATCACCACCACCACCATCACCACCACCACCATCATCACCACCATCACCACCACCACCACCACCATCACCACCACCATCATCACCACCATCATCATCACCACCACCATCACCATCACCACCATCACCACCATCACCACCACCACCATCATCACCACCACCATCACCACCACCATCACCACCACCACCACCATCACCACCACCATCATCACCACCATCATCACCACCACCATCACCACCACCACCATCACCACCACCATCACTACCACCACCATCACCACCACCATCATCACCACCATCATCACCACCACCATCACCACCATCACTACCACCATCACCACCATCATCACCACCACCATCACCACCATCACCACCACCATCACCACCATCATCACCACCACCATCACCACCACCACCTTCACACACTGTGGCGGTGACGTCACCACACACCCGCCATTTTGTCTACACTACACAGTGTTGCTGAATGTTTACCTCTTACAACAACAACCACTACACGAGTTGTTGTTGTGATACTCACAGGGTAGTAGCAGCAGTGATATACAAGTCGTAGTTGTTGCTGTGGTGGTTGTGGTAGTTGTTGTTGTGGAGATTGTCAGAGCGCCTCTCGTCACCACGGTGACGTCACGCGCTGATGCCCCGCCCCCTTCAGGCGCGAGCCGCTCCCCGATTGGCTGCCGGCGTTGCCGCGTCACCCCGTAGCCCTCTTCTCATTGGTGGATTGGAAACCCATCTCGGAAGATGTCTTCCCGTTACAGAAGATGTCTTCCTGTTACAGAAGACGTCTTCTTCTTCCAGAAGATGTCTTCCCGTTACAGAAGATGTCTTCCAGCTACCTAAGATGTCTTCCTGTTACAGAAGATGTCTTCCCGTTACAGAAGATGTCTTCCCGTTACAGAAGATGTCTTCCCGTTACAGAACATGTCTTCCTCTTCCAGAAGATGTCTTCCAGTTACAGAAGACGTCTTCCCGTTACAGAAGATGTCTTCCAGTTACAGAAGATGTCTTCCAGCTACAGAAGACGTCTTCCAGTTACAGAAGACATCTTCCCGTTACAGAAGATGTCTTCCCGTTACAGAAGATGTCTTCCTCTTCCAGAAGATGTCTTCCAGTTACAGAAGATGTCTTCCCGTTACAGAAGATGTCTTCCCGTTAAAGAAGATGTCCTTCCCGTTACAGAAGATGTCTTCCCGTTACAGAAGATGTCTTCCCGTTACAGAAGATGTCTTCTCCTTACAGAAGATGTCTTCTCCTTACAGAAGATGTCTTCCTGTTACAGAAGATGTCAAACAATGACAACCATAATACAATTTACATTAAAGTTATCAGACACAAAGACAGACACGCGCAGAGAGAGAGATGGCTTAGCGAAGTGGCTTATCATCTCAGGGACAGACCCAGCAGGCGCCGTGGGTTGACTGCTGTGCCAGGCTAGGTGCAGGAAGTCACGGGACAGGACCCTGCAGGTGCCGTGGGTTGACTGCTGTGCCAAGCTAGGTGCATGAGGAGGTCACGGGACAGACCCAGCAGGTGCCATGGGTTGACTGCTGTGCCAGGCTACGTGCAGGAGGAGGTCACAGGTCAGACCCTGCAGGTGCCGTGGGTTGACTGCTGTGCTAAGCTAGGTGCATGGGTCTGTGTGGTGAGTCTATGGATCTGTGTAGTGAGTCTATGGATCTTTGTGTGGTCAATCTATGGGTCTCTGTGTGAGTATATGGGATTCTGTATGATGAGTCTATGGGTCTCTGTGTGGTGAGTCTATGATCTCTGTGTCATGAGTCTATGGGTCTGTGTGAAGTCTTGGGTCTCTGTGAGTATATGGGATTCTGTATGAGTCTATGGGTCTCTGTGTGAGCATATGTGACTCTGTATGATGAGTCTATGAGTCTCTGTGTGGTGATCCTATGAATCTCTGTGATGAGTCTATGGGTCTGTGTGGTGAATCGATGGATCTCTGTATGATGAGTCTATGGGTCTCTGTGTGGTCAGTCTATGGTCTCTGTGTGAGTATATGGGATTGTGTGGTGTCTATGGGTCTGTGTAGTGAGTCTATGGTCTCTGTGTGATGAGTCTATGGGTCTCTGTATGATGAGTCTGTGGGTCTCTGTGGATGAGTCTGCGGGTCTCTGTGTTGGTGAGTCTGTGGGTTTCTGTGTGTGAGTCTATGGGTCTCTGTGTGATAGTCTATGGGTCTCTGTGTGATGTCTGGGTCTCTGTGTGATGATCTATGGGTCTCTGTGTGGTGAGTCTGTGGGTCTCTGTGTGGTGAGTCTATGGGTCTCTGTGTGATGAGTCTGTGGGTCTCTGTGTGGTGAGTCTGGGGTCTCTGTGTGTGAGTCTGTGGGTCTCTGTGTGGTGAGTCTGTGGGTCTCTGTGTGAGTGTCTATGGGTCTCTGTGTGATGAGTCTGTGGGTCTCTGTGTGATGAGTCTGTGGGTCTCTGTGTGGTGAGTCTGTGGGTCTCTGTGTGGTGAGTCTGTGGGTCTCTGTGTGTGTGAGTCTGTGGGTCTCTGTGTGGTGAGTCTGTGGGTCTCTGTGTGGTGAGTCTGTGGGTCTCTGTGTGGTGAGTCTGTGGGTCTGTGTGGTGAGTCTGTGGGTCTCTGTGTGTGAGTCTGTGGGTCTCTGTGTGGTGAGTCTATGGGTCTCTGTGTGGTGAGTCTGTGGGTCTCTGTGTGATGAGTCTGGGTCTCTGTGTGATGAGTCTGTGGGTCTCTGTGTTGAGTCTGTGGGTCTCTGTGTGTGAGTCTGTGGGTCTCTGTGTGTGAGTCTGTGGGTCTCTGTGTGGTGAGTCTGTGGGTCTCTGTGTGTGAGTCTGGGGTCTCTGTGTGGTGAGTCTGTGGGTCTCTGTGTGGTGAGTCTGTGGGTCTCTGTGTGGTGAGTCTATGGGTCTCTGTGTGGTGAGTCTGTGGGTCTCTGTGTGGTGAGTCTGTGGGTCTCTGTGTGGTGAGTCTGTGGGTCTCTGTGTGGTGAGTCTGTGGGTCTCTGTGTGGTGAGTCTATGGGTCTCTGTGTGGTGAGTCTGTGGGTCTCTGTGTGGTGAGTCTATGGGTCTCTGTGTGGTGAGTCTATGGGTCTCTGTGTGGTGAGTCTGTGGGTCTCTGTGTGGTGAGTCTGTGGGTCTCTGTGTGGTGAGTCTATGGGTCTCTGTGTGGTGAGTC